GCTCAGGTCAGTCTGTAATGGAATTCCCAAAGACACATTCTTGAAGCATCTTTAGTCTGGGCCAGAGTAGTTTAACAACTGACAGGTGGGCCTCTGATGGCTGTCTAAGAGGGAATATGGCCCTTGGGCTGATTTAAGGCTCATTCTCTTTCCAGATTTCCAATTAGTGCCAATTCAAGGAAATGCACCCCTAGCATTTATTGTCGGTGGAACTCCTTCTCTCTCTCTCTCTTGTTTTTGAAGAAGGAGGGATGAGGAAGGTGAGGCAACTGGTGACTCTCCCCACTGCCCAATGAATTAAATGCACATCCTTTCCAATTACTTAATTAGTGTGCTGTTTTCAGGGAGAGCACCCCCTTTGCAAACCCTGTTGCTTGAGGCAATTTTCTCATTGCAGTCATTCAGTCTCCCTGATAGACAGGAACACAATTCGCTCTCTGACAGAAGGTAGCCAGTCAAGCGCAGATAGAGTGAAAATAGATTTTTAACACCACTGCAATGCTTGTAAGTACCCAAGGAGAAAACATTCGCCCTAGCAGGAAGTCCACCTTTGATGGAAAGGGCTGCCGGGCTTTGGCATTGCCCTGCAGTGAAGGAGGTAATAGACTTGCCCTGCTAATATTTACAATGCAGGGAGCAAACCGTTTGCAGCCTGGCTGTTTTATGTTGCATCCTGACCAGAACAGCAAATTTGGCTTCAGAAGGCCGCAAGTTGCCCTTGCCTGCTCTCTAAGGGGAGAAGGGGAAAATGATGTCATGGACTCATCCATCTGGTGTTAGTCCCCAGGAGCTACTGACCCAACCCTTTTCTGCTGGCAAAGGGTGGGTTTCACCTGCACTGAATTATAAGCCTGTTCTGTCTATTTTCCTACACACACACATATACACACACAATTTGCATTTTAATTTTATACATGTTTGATTTCCCTTCCTTTAAAATACTATTCTGCATGCATTCCCCACAATTCCCAAATACACATTTTGTATGCTTTTCCATGTATCTGGAAAGCCCACATTTTGGGATCGTCATCTGCCCTCTCCCCATTCCCTACTGATTTTGGCAACTATTTGTCTAGTTATTATATTTTACCAACATTAACATTTATGTCATATGTCAACGTGTCTCAATGTATCTTTGCAAACATGGGTGCAAATCCACATGTTCATAACAGAAAAGAAAATATCAAAGTTGTCAGTTCCTTCTACAGCAAAGCGATAGCCTTTGATTATTAAATGGCCAATTATTTCACACTTTCTTCAGTGTCTGAAAAATAGAAATTGTATTGGGATTTCATAACGTGCACATTGGTTTAAATTCCAAGCAATTCGTTAGTCAGTTAAAAGGCAGATCATCAACTCATCATTTGGGGGAGACGGACCTTTAAAAAAGCCTTGTCTGCAGTTTTGACTTAAAAGGAAGAAATTGTGGAAGATGGAAGCTCTTTTGAAGACTTCAGCTGGAGACATTAGGACAAAAATGTGTCAGGAGGGACAAAGGGCCACCCCTAACATTGCAGGGAATGCCTTCGTCACTTAGAATGAAGGTCTGAAGGGGGGGTTCTACACAGGTTTGCTTGAAAAGCACTTCTAAGCAGTACCAGCAATTCAACAGTGGAGGGGACTACCTCAGAAGATGGTGGGTTCTCCTTCGCTGGAGGCTCTTAAGTAGGTTCTGGGTGCCCTTCTGTCAGAAATTTTTTAGCTGTGATTCCTGCATTGCAGGGCTTTTGACCCTTGGGGTCCTTTCCAGTTCTACAGCTTTATAATTCTCTTGGGATACTTTATATTGGAACATATTCAACGTACAACGAAAGGACTAACATTTATCCCTTTATCCCTTTATCACAGGGTAGGAGCTGCTGGTAGTCTGGGACTCTTTATTCTCTCTCTCTCTCTCAACTTCTCAGACAAAGACCTCTGTGTTTTGTATTTCCTGGCCTCATCTGACATCATTAGCAGGCAGACGTGCAGTGCAATGATATCACAGTGCAATGAGAGCTCTGTCTCACACATCTACCTTGGCCCTTAGTGCACACCGCTGACTTTATTGTAGGACTCCATCATCCACATTCCTGTAGCCTTCAGTGGCTCTCATTCATGCATCACACTACTGTATCACAATAACCCTGCTGAGCCGAGTTTGGTTGCATTATGGGGAAATGGGCCATTGATATTTTGCATTGTGGGAAATGCCAAGTGGCAACTGTTGTGAAATTCTAATTTCATTTTTACCTGTGCCCAGAGAAGTTATTTTTAACTGCTACACCATCCCCTTGATTAAAAACAAGCCTATTATTTAGGGTTTTAGATTGGTCCTGCAAACACCACTTTCCCCTTTTCTACCTCAGACTGGTCAGCCAGGGCAGGTTGCAGAGGCTCTTGCGACGAACTGGCTCGTTCTCGCATACTAGACTAATAATTTAACCATGTTAATAATATCAGCCAGTGCCCATGTCAAATCCATTGCTGCACAATGTGACCAAATCCATTACCACACACACGGAAATCAATTACTGCACATTAGGGAGCACTTAACAATTTGCCTCAGCTTTTGCCACAGAGCATTGTGTGCAAAGGGAGGGCGGATGAATCATTACCTGGCATGCTGGAAATAGATTTTCCCCTCCCTTCTTCCCTTCTTGCCTCCATAACAAAAGCAACACAGGCGCATAGCCTAGCACATGCAGGCTAGTAATGGCTTGATGTAGGTAAACAAGGCATTTTAGGTGCTGGAAATGTACTGTTTACAAGAAAGCAGCAGGCTGGATGTGAGAGAAGGATGAATGGCTATTGAGTAAAATTGCTCCCTTTGTTGGGGTATAAAAGTGCTCTCTCTCTCTCTCTCTTCTGGTAACAAAACACAGTTGTAGACCCTCGTGCAGGATGTGTGTGTGTGCATGTCCTTTGGGATGCACCATAGCTCAGTCTTAGAGCATCAGTCCTGCATCAGGTGTAATCCCTGGTATCTCCACGTATGTAGAGCTGGGGATAACACTCCTCTCTGAAATCCTGGAGAGCTGCCCATGTAGACATTATTGAGCTAGGTGGACCGATGCTCTGACTCTAATTAAGGCAGCTTCCTACGTCCTTGTGATGTGTGTTGCAGTTCGTGTGAGATCAGTGCAGAATATGAAAGATGACCAGCACTCACGGCTTGCTCCCTGTGCAAGTCCAAATCACAGAGAGAGAGCAATACAGCAAGACACGAGGACCACCAGTTAACAAATTTTAACCAACAGTTAGCAAAAGCATGTATTTTTTTTTAAAAAAAGAGAGTTTTGATGTCTTTTTGAAAGAAGAGGGCTGTGGAGATTTTCCTTGGAAGAGTTCCCCGGGGAATTGGAGCTGCTGATAAGAAGGCTCCACCCCAAAGAGAGACAAATATTGTCTCCATATGAGATGCAACTTGGAGCAGGATCACATCAGAAGGTCTTGTATGGGAGAAGACCCTTCATGGGGCCATTGCTACCCAATCAACCAAAGAAAAGGAAAGGACAGTGTGAGGCTGCCATTATTATACACACAGGAATACACACAATTCAGCCACCTCTTAATTATTTCAAGATAAGAAAAAGCATACTATAACCACCCCCTCCACATTCATGAAGAAAGTGAACCTCTTTTAACCCCTGCCCCCACAAAGAAACCCCTGATTTCTGAAACAGATTGAAACTTTTAAAAACACACAGATAGTGATTAAAGGAGAATCTTGGGGCCTATCCACACCCTGAATTATAGGCATCATGACTAGTAGCTGTTGATAACCTTATCTTCCCTGAATCACTCCCTATCACCTTCGGTTTCTCCTTATCCCTCCATGTGTGTCTTGGACCAAGGAGAGACTCTGCTGCAAGTCTGTGCTAGGATCCTGTGCCAGGGAGCTGTTTAAAAGAGCAGTTCTCAACTGGTCGAATAGCACCCCCTGGAAGCTGTTGGAGTTACCTAGGGGGTGCTAAGATGCAAGGGGACAGCAGGGGGCGCTGGAAGTGCAAATGACTTGGGCTTTGAAAAGATGGTATCAGTGGATCAAGTTCATCGGTTTTGTAGAATTCATTAAGCCAAATAGTATTAATTGGATTTGGAATAAATAGAAGTGTATAAAGTTGTCTATGAAGAATTAAGCTAAAAGAGACAAATCTACAGGTATGCTTTAGAATATTATATAGTATTTGTACATAGTACTTGTTCAAACTCTCAGAATTTGATTGTATTATTATCTTCCTTAGTGGACTGTGCAAACCATTATTCTGAATACTGCTTTTGATAGGGTAGAAGGCACTGGGGATGAATTCCATTGTGTGTGTGTGTGTGTGTGTGGAATATATATATATATATTCCTAATGACTCATCTGTAGCACTTTTCTGTGGTCTACTTTGCCTCGTGAGAAAGAAACAATTTACCACATTCCTGCACAGCTTATTTTCTCTGTGTGATCCGCTCACATAGAGGTTTGGGAAGTAATTTGCAGATATTTCACTCAAAAATAGCTTCTCGAGACAAAAGGGCCCTATTGATACAAAAGTGCAGGCGAGGGGGAAGAAAAGATCTCAAACCATGCCAAAAATAAAATAAATAAAATAAAACTAAACGAGACTGCTTTTTATTTTTGCCAGTCACTCCAAGTTTAAATTCTAAATAGCTCACATTCCCAAATAGTGTGTTCTGTCAAAAACCAAAACCAAAAACTTCCCTGCCATCTCCTTCCTTTATAAAAGCATAGAATTGTAGAGTTGGAAGGGATCTCAAGGATCATCTAGTCCAACCCCCTGCAAATGCAGGAATAATAATAATAATAATAATAATAATAATAATAATAAAATAATATATTTATTATTTGTACTCCACCCATCTGGCTGGGTTTCCAACAGACTATTAAAAACACAATAAAACATCAAACATTAAAAACTTCCCTAAACAGGGCTGCCTTCAGATGTATTCTAAATGTCAGGTAGTTGTTTATCTCTTTGACATCTGGTGGGAGGGTGTTCCTGCCTGCAGCCATTTCTGGTTGGGCTCAAACCACCAGCCTTCTGGTTAACAGCCAGACACGCTGACCTATAGTGCCACATGCTTTCCAGAGAAGGGTTGCTCATCTAGGTCAGGTCTTCTCATATCTTCTGCCCGCAACGAGGTCTCCAAAGGCTACATTTTGGAGACAGTGTGGAAATTGCAATGGGCTCAGAAAATAGCTACCATGATCGTAAGACTGTAAGAAGAATTTTGTTGAATAAGGTCCATAAGAACATTTAGAGTGGCAGCTCTTAATCTCTGGAACTCCTTGCCTGTTGACATCATGTAGGTAGGTACCTTTGTTATACCCTTTCCGGCAGCTGCTTAAAACTTTTTTTTGTTCAGGCAAGTCTACTCTGACTAGAAAAAGCAACAATATATTATTTTATACAACTTCTTTTTAGCCTTGACTTTTATAGATCTCTATCTCTCTATCTGTCTCTATCTCTATCATCTCTATCTCTATCTCTATCTCTATCTCTATCTCCATCTCTATCTCTATCTCTATCTGTATGTATGTATTGGAAACTGCAGTGAGGCTTTATTTACAGTTTAGCGGTATACATTTTTTAAAAAAAGAATAACAGCAAACCTTCAATATATCTATATTTACACACACTTGCGTTGTCAAGATTCGAACCCGGGATCCTTTCCATGCACGTCAGGTCCTACCTCTCTCCCAGCAAGGTACTTCAAAATGCTCCCCCAACATTCCTTCAGAAATGCCTTGCTTATTACTGGGAGACAGACGGCTGTTTCTCGGTAGCCAGGGGACACGATCTGAAACAGTAATAAACATTTTATTCTACATCTTGTCACTCCTTGTCTGAGTCACATGACCGACTTTGTGAGACTGCCAGGGGACGCAGTCTTGGGAATTAAATCACAGCAAAAGAGGGGCAGCATTGTTTGGATTTAAACATAATGATTTGTCTCAGCTTTACAGGATGGGGCTGTTTTGGTTTGTCTCTGCTTCGAGATAAAGGTTTCGGGGAGGTTTTCTTTTTCCCTTAAAAAAAAAGTTATTGCTTTTCTCCCTGCTGTTTCGAGTGATTGAGCTGCCTTAACAATGTTTTCCTGCCATTGCTTATTTATTGGAATCTAAGCCTCTGCTTTTATTAATGTGTGCTTTTTTATTAATGTGGTAGTTTATCTGGCTCATCTTGCAGTTTTTATGTCTCTGACTTCTAATGTGGGAGGGATTTAGAGCCCAGGGCTAGAGCATCTGTTTTGCATACAGAGAGACCCAGCTTCAACCTCTGCAGGGCTGGCGCAAGACATTTTGCCACCTGAGGCAAACCACAAAAAAGGTTACCCCCCCTCCTCACCAGGGAAGAAGGGGTGAGTGAAGATCTACACCAGGAACGGGGGTGGGAGTAAAGACCTACATTGGGATGTGCCGTCCCTGGGGATTGTGTTGCCTGAGGCACTTGCCTCAACTTGCCTCATGGTGGAGCCGGCCTTGGATCTCTGGAATTTCCAGTTAGTTCCGGGGACGTCCTCTGTCTAAAAACCTGACGTGTCACTGCTGGGATGTGTTCTCATTACCGCCTCAGAGCACCATGAAGTTGCCCCCCCCCATGTGCTTCACAGCTCTCCCCCTTCACATCAACAGGGTTTCAGTTCACTCAAGTTGCATACACACCAGGGGGAGTTGACAGTGTGGGACATTTAACCCCTATGCAAAGGTTTCCACCACCTTGCCTGGAGCCAAAATTAGGAACGGCTTGAGGACTCCAAAACACATATGCATTTTGTTGCCAAATCTTTTTTCCAGCTCTTGCTCTTGTGTCTGTAATGGGAGCTTGATCTGCAAAGGCTAACAGAGAGCGTCAGCCTCCATGCAATGCAAACCTTCACCGAGTGATTTCTGAAAGCAGCTGTTAAAAGGCACAAGAACAGGTCATGCTAGTCCACCTGCCTCCCTGTCACTTGGTAACCCCAGTGCAGGCCCAGGAGCAGAGAGTAATGAGACTGCAATTTGCTTTACTGCAGTGACAGCAATAGCCCTCAATTCCATCCAGAGGGAATTTGTTTTCTCCATTATACTAGGTAGGGATTTCTCTCTCTCCTTTCTCTGCCCGTTACAGAGAGAGAGAGAGAGAGAGAGAGAGAGAGAGAGAGAGAGAGAGAGAGAAGGGTGGGGGGTATCACCCACCAGCAAGGTAATTAGAGCTGCATCCAGAGGCAATTATGCTCAGGACAATTTTGCTTGCAGAATGTGTGTGTGTGTGTTTCTGAATGGTGCTAACTCAAAAACTTGACTTGGTCCAAAATGCAGCAGCTAGGTTACTGTCTGGGGTTTCATTTGGACCTCATATAACCCCTGTTTTAAAACAGCTGCACTGATTGCCAGTTCATTTCTGGGCCCAATTCAAGTTGCTTAAACCCTAAATGACTCAGGCCCCTCAAAAGACCACCACCTCCTGCCTTACAGCCCCTCCCAAGTGCTGAAATTGGCAGAGGGGGCCTTCTTGGTTTCTCTGCCCTCAGACATTCAGCGATTGGCAGCCCAGGAGATGGTCTTCTCTGTGGTGGCCCCTAAGGTGTGGAACCCATCCCCCTCCCCAATTAGGTGCATCAGGCACAGAACCTTCATTGTACAACTTCTGGGGCATGCTGAAGACACAACTTTTTGCGGTGGCTTTTGACACTTGAGGTATATGCCTTTAGGACCCACTTTATTTGCCTGATTGCAAGTTTTTTTAAAAAAACAACAACCAACAACACAGCAACAACAACAACCCTGTTTTAAATGTTGTGTTTTAATGCTGCAATAGATCCCACGATCTCCAGGTGATGGAAGGGTAATAAGTAAATAAATAGCCAAGCAATTAATCAATCAGTCGACACGTTCTATGGGCAGGAAGGAATTTTATAGTCATCTGAAAGGTGGAGATTTAGAGGGGGGAAACCCATATTCACGGGAGGAGAATCTCTGCTTGGATACATGTGGTTCCTTGGGAAGCAATGGAAGGGAGATCAAGCCTGGTTGCCTTTGGGAAAGCCGACCAAATAACAAACCATGAAAGAGGTACAAGGCAGGAGAGGGTATTGATGACATCCTCACTTACCTCCTCCGCTCCGCTTGCATTTGATACACTGTCTGATTAAGTCTTGTCGGCAGCAACGCGCACAGCTGGCTGCAGGACTCAGACAGCTCCTAATGACTGCGGGAGCTGGCGCACTCCCTAAGCAAGCGTGGCGTGTGGTGGCAACTGTAAAGGATGCAAAAACTGGCAGGAGGGAGGTGGTCCAGGGTGCTGCATCTCAACTAGGGGAAAGGGGGGGGGAGCGGACCAAGCCAAGAATCAAGCCACAGAGGGAATGGGTCACATGGCAATGTTATTCTCTTGATTACATGTCCTCAGAAGATTACTTTCCTCAGAAGTAAATCCTGTTGTCTTCAGTAGGGCTTGCTCCTGGTTAAATGCGCCAAGCATTGCTGCCTGATACGCAATGCAATATGTCGATGTGCTTCAGGAAAGTTTGCAGGTTTGCACTCGTGCCATATAATTGAATATCAACATGATACACAAGGAAAGAGGGAGAGGGTGGGAAGAGGAAAATAAGCAGACTCAAAGGCCATGGGGTGATCTCAGGCTGTCTCAACCTGACCAAGCAAGAAGAAGGGACTTCTTTACACAACACATGGTTAGACTATGGAACTCACTCCCACAGGCAACACTGATGGCCACTTAGATGGCTTTAAAAAAGCAGTAGTCAAATTCGTGGAGGAGGAAAGGGCTGTTTACGGCTACTAGCAACAATGGCTATGCTCTGCTTCCACAGCAGGAGGCAGCAATGCATTTCTGGTAGGGAGAGTACGCTTGTGCCCGGGTCCTGCTTGCAGGTTTTTCAAAGATATCTGTTTGGCCACTATAAGAGCAAGATGCTGGACTAGGTGGGCCATTGGCCTGATCCAGAAGGCTCTTCTTATGTCCTTTAGTATGGATCCCCAACCAGCTTGAATCAGCCCCAACCCTGAATCAGCCCAGTTTGGTTCAGCCAAATCTGCTGCATAGCCCCATTGGGAACCCTGGTAAAACCAGGATATGGAGATGTTGCAAGAAGTGTAAAGTAGCCTTTGATTATTTAATTGTACGTTGCCACTCATTGCAAAATGGAAGCACCATCTTAATCAGGAGTAGGCAAACGAGGCCCTCCAGATGTATTGAGACTACAACTCCCATCATCCCTGACCACTGGTTCTGTTGGCTAGGGATGATGGGAGTTGTAGTCCCAAAACATCTGGAGGGCCGAGTTTGCCTGTGCCTTATCTGAATACACCATCTTTTCGACTCCCTCTGGTGATAACATACCAGCATTAAGAAGTCCTAAAATATATCAGCCAGTCTCACAGTCCTAGGCATTAAACCTTTCTTTCACAATTAATGCTGCCCCATATAAATAGTAAGCTAAAGCTTTAGGCTGCATTCTAGCCATGTCTATCCGCTGGAGTAATCTTCAATGAATTCAATAGAACAAACCTCTGAGTATACCAGTTGCTGGAAACCACAGGAGTAGAGAGAGCTCATGTGCTTGGATCCTGCTTATGGATTTCCCACTGGCATCTGATTGGCCACTGTGAGAGCAGGATGCTGGACAAGATGGGACATTGCCCTGACGCAGCAGGCTCTTATTATGTTCTTATATATACATGGTTTAGATTGTCCTGTAGTTGATTAATCTGCCAATTAAAATATGCAACCCTGTGAACAAGATCTAAAGGGGGGGGAGGGCATTACCCACTCCTAAAGCCCAAACCTTTCCTAAACTGACATGAATTTTCGGGATAAATATTATTACTGCATTTTCCATAGCAATAAAAAATTAATTTGCTATTACAGAAAAGGGATTTTGCTCTTACAAATGAGTATTTTTGCAGCCAACAGTGCTGCTAGGGATGGTTTCTCATCTTACCCATTCTCTTTTATTGGTTTCTACTCTTTTTTTCTTCCTTAGCTATTTGAATTTCAGCATCAGAAGATTGCAGTGGCGCGATCTATTGGGAGAACATCTCTCAAATGCCACCCGGGTGTTCCTCAGGGAGTCTGCA